GTGGTCCCCGCAGCACTGCCGGGCGGCGCCGGGTGCCGCGTCACGGAGGAGCGGTTCGGCTTTGAGTCTGGGCAGCGTTTGTTACCGTCCTCCCAGTCGGTTTCGCGGTCAGGGACTGACAGAAGCAGAGCGTGACCTTAAGCGGCGCCGACCTAACTTTCTTCATTGCCAAAGTTTTCAAGGGTGAATACTATCTACATTAACCAAAGTAACAGTTGACAGTTTATCTAAATTGACCCAAGTAACAGTTAACAGTTCACAGTTCTTGTTGAATCTCTGGTTCCTCGAAGAGAAAGAATGTGGCCTTTGGGATTGAAAATATGGAATTTCGGAATATTATACTTTTCCATGATTTACCTAATTTTGAGCAGCTATCTTTTGTGCCTCAGGTTCTTCATTTTTTAACTGAAAGGTTGCCACAGCCATGTGTAATTGTGTTCTTAAGGTCGTGGTGTGGAACACTAGCAGAACTTACACCATGATCCATACTTAACTGTAATCTGCTCTTAGACCAAAACACAGGCTCGCCACGGAGTGTAAGAGGTCACACAGCTTTCGTGTGGAATTTTAGACCATTGAAGAGAACTTTGAATCATTTAGTAAGCAAAGGAAGGCCTCATACATGGAGTGATTTGTCCACAGCCCCTTTCTGAACTGTGGAGGGAGAGTGGTATATGTTCATGATTACATTAGCATTTAAGATATTTTTAAAGGTACTGTAGTTCAGCGGTGTTTAAAATTGTCTTGTGAGAAAAGCAGTAAGGGTACCACCATATTTACTGATTTTTAGTAACTGCACGGTCCACATTTCCATTGGCTGAATGTTAGCACAAAATTGTAAGAATATTAGCTTATTTTTATAGTGGAATTGCTAGCAACTCATACACACGCACAAACTGCTTTTAGATTTGCAGTGAATTTTCTATCTGATGACTTAACTTTTCTTGGCGTAGGTTCTAAACTAGAATAATTTACTCTTGAAAATGAATGAACTTAATGGAGACTTGTATTAAGATTATTAAGAATAATTAAAGTCTATCATTGCTTATGGCAACATATCTCAGTGGATCCACCTATGGGTAACATCAGATAATTGCTTAACAATTTATGGATATTTAAGTGAAATAACACTTTAAAAGAAACTGCAACAACTGGAGCTAGATACCTTAAAAATTGAGTACACAATGCAAAACAACAACAAAACACACATTTCCTATACTGCACTATCCTCATAGAACAGTGTAATAATTCTAAACTTTATCATTAGCTACTTTTGTAGTAATATGCCTTGTTTTGGAAGCTCAAATTTCACTCATAACTGGGATATTTTAATTAAGAAAGACCACTTAATTAAGAAAGACCTAGCAGAATATGGTTCCTTTAGGATTAAGATGTAGGCTCTATCTTTAAGAATATTCAAAGTTCAATTCAAAGTTAATTTAAAAGTAAAAATTTTTTCTTCATCTTTGTCATGCATACAGTTCTCTAAAAGGAAAAAAATAAGTTCATGGTTCTATTTGAGTAATTGTTTTGAAATATTTATAATAGGTAAAATGGCAAAAACTTGCCCACCGTGTAATAAGTATGATTTTATATAGTAAGATTTCAAATTTATTGCTTTTTTGTAAGCTATTTAAACTATATTTTTCAGTTTTATATATAATTTTTTATGATCATAAATTCCTGGCTAAGGTCTAAAATTTAAACTTGAATTACAAGCTTTTTAAAGCCTTTAATTTAAATAGAGATGTATCTTCCCTAGCCTCTTCTGAAACAATCGCCTTGGAGCAACCACCAGAGCAGTGGCTGGGGCACTGGAAGCATGTCCTGGGGAGCAGTGCATGGCAGAGATCATCGTAGAACTGGAAACATGGGAATTCCAGGAACCATGAATCAGATATCTCCATTGAAGAAACCATTCTCTGGTAATGTCATAGCACCACCGAAATTTACTCGCTCTACTCCATCACTGACTCCAAAATCTTGGATTGAAGATAATGTGTTCAGAACAGACAACAATAGTAATACACTCTTACCCTTACAGGTAAGAATGGTATGTAATTGGTCTTATTATTTCTAATGTTAATCTTTCAAAATAGGAAGTTGGGTGGCACCAGCAGTTGTAATGTATAGTAAAATTAGTAAATGGAAAAAAAATAAAGTCCTAGTTTTTAAGCATATAGTTAGATGGTGAGATACATAGAGAAAATCGAGAATGTAAAACATTCTCTAAGCACACAATGGAAAATAAGCTGCTTAAAATGTAGAAAAATCTCATTTTTCTTAAATACTGATTGAAGCTTTTAATTGGCAGTTCTTTTAAAATAAGTAAATTTATTATTGTGTAATCAAATTTTGTTTCTCCTATAACATAGTGAACCTAAAAAGTTCTGGAACTGTAGTGATTCATAGATTTGTCTATAATGAGCTGTCTGGATATTAGAATACATTGACTACAGCTTTAATTATGGCAAAATAATATCAAGAGTATTACTTCTAATTCAAATTTGTCTTCACTTGTCCAGTGACTGCATTTTCCAAAGTATGGCCTAATAGTTATGGTGATAAACAGTTTTTTTTTTTCCAAGCTAAAATTTTTTTGTTGATCATTTTTTTGTTGAATATTTTGTTGAAGTTCATTATGGCTATTTTAAATAAGATTTTATTTTTCCTAAAATCTTTAGAGGATTGAACAAAGATTTAAGAGAAAGAACTTTTGATTGTTTTTTGTTTCTTTTTTTTTTCTTTTTTTTTTGGGGAGGGGGTGGATATGGGGAAGAAAATTGCTCATTTCTGATGAAAACTTCTATGCTATTGAAGGTGAGATCTAGTTTGCAGTTGCCAGCTTGGGGCTCAGATTCACTCCAAGATAGTTGGTGCACTGCAGCCGGAACATCCAGAATAGACCAGGTAGGCTGCACAGTGTATATTTTTCAGGATTTTGAGTCGAGTTTAGTATTTATATTATGAGTAGGATTTATCATTACTTTTCAGATATGCCTATTTAAGCATATGTTACAGGGCATTAAAGCAATTTACTTTTAAAGATCACCTTGATTTACTATTTAATATAGAATATTCATCTTTATATATAAAAGATTTGTAATCATTTTATATTTCTAAGGCGTAATAAAATTTGTTTCTGAATGAAAGAAGTTAATTATATACTCAAGAGCACCTGACTTTAAACATCAGTCAAACTAAACAGATTTTATGTCCTTTCAGAATTATTTGCAGCTAGGTACAAAATCTCATATTTACTTAACATCCAGCTTTCTATTTTATGTTTTACAAAACTTTCCAGTAAATTTTTGTTCTGAAACCTGATAGAGATTTCATATTTGAAATATATTATTGAGATATATTTCTGAAAAGGCCCTGTCTTAATTCAGGTTTTTACTTTCATAAAATAAACTTTATGGTATAGTTATTTATTCTAAATTTTATTACTGTTCTCATATCCGTCAAGTGGTTACAGAATGCTGTCTTTCCTCCTGCAGAGTGAATTTGTATGTATACTGGGTAGCAGGTGATGAGGATTATTACAAGACATAGAAAGCTCCCTCCTTACATATGAGGATTCTTTTTCACAGAGCCCAAGTTTGATTGAGCTTAGACATGACATTATGTGAGTTAAGTGAATGGAGCTATTTTATCCTTAGCTAAGGCTTTTCCTTAGTTAATTTATCAAGAGATGACTTTGAGTAAGGTCTGTATAAGCAGATTAATAATATATTTGTAAATAGCATTTTAATCTAAGGATTAGCACTAACTTCAATAATCAAACATTAGCAGTTATTTAAACAGGTCCTGCCTATATATAAAAGTTGTTCTGTAAGATCTGTGCTCCGAAATAGTTATCTGATGAAATTTACAATTAATTTACTCATTAATATTAGCTATCCATCTATTCCTATTTCTTCTTCACTCTGGCCTAGCTAATCTATATTAGTGACATTTTTATGGTAGCACTTTTCTATTGTTCAAATGGAATACTAAATGCTTATGCGATGGTATATTAGGAAAATTAAAAATATTACTTTGGAAATATTCTTAGGAATAGACACAATTATTCCAAGTGTATGTGCAGAAGCAATAGAATGTGCATATGGTAGAAAGGGTCCTTGCAGGCAGAAGCAAAGGTTGAGAAATTAGTTTATTGGAATGGTTTTCTTTGATGGAATGGACCTAGACAGTAGATAGAGGTGATAACAAAAGGATATTCTTTAAACTGGACTCTGGGACTGGCACAGGACAAAGGCTGTGTCCCTCCACTTAGACTTCAGTCTAAGCCACTCTGCTTTTACCAGTTTTATAACCTGGGGCTTTAGGTAAGTTCATTTTAGGAGACAGGAATTTAGTATTACATATATATATTCTTTTGGCAAACTGCAGAGATATTAGTATTCCACATGGACTCAGAAATGTGATATGATGAAGCTGAAGACCGTGGAAAAAAAAGAAGATAGTGAAAATTAAACTCAACTGGAAGGAAAGGAGGTCTGAAACATGGGTTGTCTTCCTCTTCCTCAAAATCGTTACGACATTAAATATAACAGTTTATGGGTTTTCATGTCTCTAGGTCATAGATGCCTTATCTATAAAAGGAGGACCTTGAACTAGGCCATATGAAGCCTTTTCAGCCAGCTCTTATACATTCTTTGATCTGTTTTGCCATTTCTTTTTCTCCTTGCTTCCTCACCCCAAACCCTGGCCTTTATTTTTAGAATGAGAGTCTTAGGTTCTTGCTGGGAAGAGTCTAAGGCATTTGTCTATGGCATCGGTGGTAGCATATGACCTTTCTGTGAGTCTTAAAAGCAATGTTGTCTCATTTCAGTACTCTAAGGGTCCGTTTTATACTTAATTTGTTCTGTGTTTCCATCTTTCCATAAAAGGTTGAGGTATTTGAAGTTGAGGTTCTTAAAAATACTTCTGCATGGACTGGGGCTGTAGCTCAGTTGGTAGAGCATTTGCTTAGCATGTGTGAGGCGCTGGGTTCGATCCTCAGCACCACATAAAAATAAATAAATAAAATAAAGGTATTGTGTCTACAACAAAAAAAAAATATTTAGGAAAAAAACTGCTGCAGCTACAAACTGGAATTGGCATTTTAAAATATTGAGTGGTTTTTATTTGTTTTTCAAAATTAAAATCATAGAATATGTTTTATCACTTAAATATCTGGGGAGAGTATTTTCATTTATGACTTTTTGTCATATATGTTTTAATATAACGTTTTTTGTTAAAAGTACATTATTATAAAACAACTTTTAATTTCTTCATACTTAACCTGATAAAGTGAATATATTAAAATATAGAACTTAAGTCTTAATTCTTGTAGTTGAACACTTCAGACCTTACTTACCATCAAGATCTTAACATATTAAATTCAATAAATGAAAAAAAAAGTTTCATAAGTTGATTTTATTTATTAGTAAGTAAAATTTTGTGGGTTGGTCTTAAGATTTTTTAATGAAAAAGCGTCAGATTTAAAATTTTTAGAAAGCAAATGTAAATAGTTACACACATTAATTTTAAAATGTTTACTACTTATTTCTGTGAATTTTTTTGGGCTAAGAATTTCTTAACTATAGTTACTCTTACAGGAAATCACATTTCTAAATTATAATTTAGAATTATAAATCACATTTCTAAATTATTTTAAAATGGAATTTCCAAGTAGAAGTTAATGTTATACTATATTTATTCAATAATACTTGGATATTTTAAGCCACAAAGTAAATATCCTTTTAACTGAGGTTTTTATTACTTACAAGTTTATATATGGCATATCATGGTAAACAAAGCACTATCTTGCAATTGTAATTCTATGAAGCCTATAAAGGCATGTTGGCCTGTTCCCTAGCCTGTTTCTTAACTCTGGAGATTATCAATTCTGCATTTTTCCTCTATGTCACATAAATTAACTTGAATTGATTGGAATTTTTGACCAATATTTAATACTGAAGATATAATAATATTGTGATGTCACAATTCGGAGTTTTTTCTCAGAAAAATAAATTATGTGACTCTTTGTTCACCTTTATGAAAATCAGTATGTAACTGCACACTAAGTTTAGTATTTCATCTAAGAAAGCATTCTTTAAGTTGTAATTTGGTTGTAGATTCTCTGTCAAAGGAACCACTGAGCTCTAGATAGGGCAGAGGGGTGGGAAGGGAAGGGAGAGAGCATGAGGTTAGAAATGATGGTGGAATGTGATGGTTATTATTATCCAAAATACACGTATGAAGACACGAATTGGTGTGAATATACTATGTGTACAACCAGAGATATGAAAAATTGTGCTCTATATGTGTAATAAGAATTGTAATGCATCCTGTTGTCATATATAAATTAAAAAATTAATTAAAAATAAAGTTGTAATTAGGGCACAGGTGTTCATACTCACATATTGATTGACTATGAAAGAGAATGGGCTCTTATATATGTGCTTGGGTAGTGGATGCTTGCTTTTTAATGTTTCTTATCCTGTGTTTAATCTTTTATTGTACTTGCAATATTTTCTTACTTGTTTTACTAATTTTTAATATCAATATTTTTAATTTCCTTTGTGCTTTTTATGTGATTTAGCAGTTTTATGTGTTGACACACATTAGTAAATCTAGTTTTCCACTTACTATTATATTAAAACACTTTCCATTATCTTCAGCATTCTTTTAAAATTATTTCTTTCTAATATCCAAAGTTGGGTTGTTTCTTTTTTTAAAATTTATTTATTCTAATTAGGTATAAGAGCAGAATGTATTTTGATTGATTGTACATTTGTTTTACTAATTTTTTTAATCCTTGTTGGTACTAGAATAAGTTCAGTAGAGTTTGGCCTTTTAAAATTTTCAAAAAATAGTTTTATTTTTTAGAGTGACTACCACAGTACATTATTGAAATTCACTTTATTGAGTGAGGTTCAGAGTAAATAAAGTTGGTTCAAGAAATATTATGTTCATTGTGCTTGTACTAGTGTCTTAATTACACTTGGGATAGATGGAGGAAAAATAACTATTCTTGCCTTTGAGAAAATAAGAGCCTAGTTGGATGAATAACTGTTATGTGTGGAACAACTGAAAATGATGAGAGTTTATGAGATTGCATGCTACATGGTGTGGTAAAACAGTGTAGGAGGTCATCTACCACTAATTCTGTATGGTTCACTAGCATTGTGTAATTAGGAATGTATAATAAATGTATACTTAAAATTGGGGAAAGCATTAGCACAACTTTGTTTTTCGAATTAAAATATATAGAAACACAAATATTGAAAATATAATAATAGCTCATCTTTCTGCTTGTACAGAATAATGCATATTTAGATATCTGTCATATCAGTAGATAAAAGGATGTAGGGTTTTTCTATGTTCATCTCCTTTTTCTTTGGGAGAATACTTCATTTTCAAGAGGAAAAGTTTCTACTTGACTACTTTTTTTTTTTTGAAATTATATAATGGAGTTTTGAATATATCAAAGCAAAAGAAAATATTACATCAGAAGTTCCCTTTGAATTAAGTTTGAGTTCCTTTGTCATGCCAATCTAATGTCATACTTGGACCGCCTTAATTTTAGTATTTGTAATTCTTTCTTGGATCATCTTCAACCTCAGGATTACTTAGTTCTTTTCTGTGTTTTTCAGCCTAGGAATTCATTGATGGTCCAATGAGTGCTATGGCTAATACCTAAATAAAAATATTAAAAATGATAAAATAACTATTAGATTACAAGAGGTACTTTTTCATCAGTATGTTCTAGTATTTTTGCTGTTTGTTATTGTAGGATTGAGTTTACAATCAGTTTCTAAAACTCCATTTAATTGATTCCTTGACAGACAATTTGCATATTTTAAAATATGTTGGGTATGAACTTTTCCTTGAAGATTTTTATTTTTATTAAGTATTTTGGCAGTTTTTAAATAATCATAATAAATGGAAGTCCCATTGCTATAATTGTCCATATTTATTATTAAATATAAGTATTGGTATATTCATGGTTCCTTTAAACCTACATCAGAGCTTTTTATTTTAACTAATGGTCTTTGCATGAATACAAATATTTTAATAGCTTTATTTTAGAATAATATATTTATTTTTAAATTTTATTTTATTTTTAAACATATTTATTTTATAGCCAAATTTCTTCCTGGTTTTCCAGAAGTCAGATTTTAATCCTCAGTTTACTAAATGGGATTTTCTCTATCTTTTGCATAGGAACCTCTAAACTTCATTAAATTTAAAAGGTGATTTTGAGATGCCATGACTTATTTGCTTACTCTAGGCTATAAAAATTATATGGGATGTAGCTGGTGCTTAGTAAAGTATAACTAAGCTAATAATTTTAAAACAGCTTTGCTGTTTATTTTCTTAAAGTGGGCATTTGGTTCATATTCAAAGACTTCAGATAAAAATGGAAATAAGGGATCATGTAATAAGTGGGCATTTCACTATTTTGTTTGGATATGTTTCAAGCTAAAGTTATTAATATATCAACTTTTTTAATGACAACTATTAGAGTTGATCACATAGTGGTTACTGATATTAATTAAATAGTTTGCTTAAACATTTTCACTTTGTTGCCTTAAATTTTGTTAATGTCCAAGTGACAATGTATGTGGAATTATTTCAGTAATTTTACTGTGCTCTAGATTAAGACCACACACCTTGCAATAGAAGGAGGAGGCACCTCCCACTCTCAAACAGAAAAAGAGAAATCAATATTGTTTGGGTGATATTAATAATCACCATTAATTAAGGTCATAGATTGACTGAAAATGGGGATAAGTTGAATTTGTTCAAAATTTTCAACCTGAAAAGATAGCTTTGAACTCTACAGTACATTTTCTTTCCAAAAATTTAGAGTAAGTCGAATATATGATATTTTAAAGTATTTATAATGTTCTCTTAGAATCTATATGATACATCATTCAATGTGTTTTTCCTTAATTATATTAACATTTTTTATCACGATAGTTTATATTTTATAACTATTTTAAATATATCTTAAAACATCAAATATATTAATAGCACTTAATCTTCCAGTGGGTAATTGTAAATTTGGGTTGGATGGCAAGGCTACATTAATATGATACTTGTTTCAACTAAGCCAGTTAACATCTGACTACCTATTCCATTAAGGATTCTAAGAAGTTTCATAGTCCTGTACGATTATAATTTAAAAAGTATAATCTTTGCCCTCATAGAAATCTACTTATACATTTTTATAAAGTTTTTTTATGGTAAAAGAAAGTAGTATTTATTTAATAGACATTTGAGAGCTAACAGTGTTCTGTATTTAGAATGTCTCTAGACTTAATTAACTTAGAAGTTGAATTAACTTAAAGTATAGTAGAAGCACAAAAGATGGAAATATTTGGAGATATTCCTAAAATTGTAGGTCATTTTTTGCCCAAAGGCAATCCTGTCTATTCCAGTTGTATTTCATTTATTGTGATTGAGTCTTTTCTATAATTTTTAAAATAGACTTTTAGGTATCATCTAGTCTGACATGATTATTTTCTACAAGAACCAGAGGCTTAATAATTTAGAAGAGAGTACAGCACTCTTTCTCATTTATAGCTATAAGCCAGCAGCATGGGTACACCTGAAAACTTGTTAGAAATATAAATTCTCAGGTGCTACTCCAAATATACTGATCCACACTCCATTGATGTGTCTTAGCAAACTGTGTTAAACAGCCTTCCAGATAATTCAAGTTTGGGAAGCAATGTTATAGCTCATTGATTCTGTGTACCTGTTTCACCAACAAGGTCACTGTTCCAGTGAACAGCTGTCACACTGCCAGTGCTATTCCTTAGGGGTCTTTCAGTAAAAATCAGTAATGGGGACTGATAGAGTTCATTCACTCTATTGATAAAGTGGAATAACCCTTGCTGTCCAACTTTCTTGTCATCATTCAGTGTTACTTTTTTCCCTTTCTAATTCTTTCACAGAGCCTTGTTTAGTCTACAATACTGACTCTGGCCCCCTAGTTTTAAAAAGTTTACAACCTTAATTTAAACATAAAAGTAGAGTAAATAAATGAACATATTCTTAAGAAAGCTTTTTATGTTTTTCTTTGCTTCTGAACAGCTGGTTCTGAATCTTCTCTGGATTGCAGACCCCCTTGAAAAAGTATAAAACTTGTCTTGAGAAAAAAATTATACACACATGTATGTACATTGAATATAATCCCAGAGATTCTGTACTAGTCTCAAACTGCATGGATCCAAGTTGAGAAATACCTAACTTTGATTTCTGGAGAAAAGAGGTTTCTTTTTCCCTAACTTAATTTTTTGATTCTTCCCTGTTTTCTGTGGGAATCATTTGTTGAGAATTTAAAATGGCCTATCATGTCTCCTCCATATTTACACACACACACACACACACACACACACACACACAGGAGTGGGTGGGGGATGGCACTGACATATTTTAGGAAAAGATTCCCAGGCTATTTGGAGGGCATGGGCTACAACTTGCTGTGGTATTTTCTGAAATATATTTTTTCATGGACATTGAGTACATGTTGAGCAGGCGTACAGTATAAATTCATGGGTGGTAAAAAAATCAAATTCCTTCTAATAAGCAAAAGGAAAAGGTATTTAGCAAACAAGGCTTCTGACAATGCAGAAAATTTTGTTCTGAGATTTGGTGAAGTGGAAAACTTAGCTGAAAGTTCTTTTAATCTTCAGAATTGCCACCTTTGCAAGGTAGTTGGGAAAGGTAGGATTGCCACACGGAGAGACTAATATGGGAGGGAGCACAATGGAGGGCACAATTTGAATATTCTAAACATTAGACTTTGTTCTGATATTAGTATCTCATGCTTATGATTGTTAATGTATATAATGCTTATGCATTTATTATGAAATTCAGATGTCTTAAATAATATAAAATGTCTGATAGATGTTTAAAGTACGGTGCAATTATGGAATTAAATCCTTTTCTCTCAGATATTTATTTTCTAAGTTCTAGTGTCTGTCGTCTTAGATGTGAGAAAAGTTTAGAAGTTAAACTACTAAAAATGCTCTTTGTGTGTATAGTATTTTAAGAATCTTTATAGAGAATGACAAAAGAAATTACTGTATTGCATTAATATTGCCAATATAATTAGATTATTTTTGATATGATACTTTGGAGATTAATAAGTTGAAAATAGTTGTCCTTCAGTAAGGGATATTGTAGTTCTTGATATTCTTAGTTATTGATATTTTCTTGAGATACAGTTGCTTAGTAATAATATTCAGATGTCGTATTATATATAAGAGAATTTACATAGTATTTTTAAGAGTTATTTGAAAAAATTGCATACATAGTAAGTCTATTTTTTTTTCTTTTCTTCTAGGATCGAAGTAGAATGTATGACAGTTTAAATATGCACTCTTTGGAAAATTCCCTCATTGATATTATGAGAGCAGAGCATGATCCCCTTAAGGGTAGGTAACTTTTGGAAACAAAAATTTTATATTACGTATCAATTTTTATGTTTCTTTTACCAGTTTTTATAGGAAAATAAGCACTAAGCTCATCTGTCAACTAATTGTTAATAGTGCCTGAAAAAAAGCATTGTTTTATAACTATTTGTATAATGAAAATGTATCTTACATTTCTTTATATAACAGTTCTCATTGCACTTTATCTTAATGATGAAAATCTTGCAAATCATGTCAACTTGAGTGAAGAGAGGCAGGTTAGTTGTGTATTGCTACATAACAAATTGTCCTAAAATTTAACAGCTTAAAACAACAATAAGTGTTTATTACCTTATACATTTTCAGTGGGTCAGGAGTACAGCAGCAGCTTAATTGATTAGTTCTGGCTCAGAATTTCTCATCGAATCAAAATCATTTTAATTCTTTAAAGCTAATTAAGAATTCACTTAAAAGATTTAGTCTCAAACTCCAGAACTTCAGTGTTGGTATCGAGGTTGTTAGCTACTAAGCAGATAATACTGGTCAACTATCTAATCATTTTGCTCTGCTAACTGGATTTTGCTTGTAGAGGATTCTTTTTTTTTTTTTTTTTTTTGTCTTTCTGATTCTTTCTTTTTAAGGAGCTTGGAAAGCTGAGGGGTCATTAGTGGTTGCTGATGATGTAGTTCTCTATACAAACTGATATAGTTACACTTTGGGTTTTTGTTTGTTTTGTTTCTCATCAAAATTCAGTGTAGTTTTTTGAGTGTCTATATGGAATCTCGTTCTCCTCACTGTTAGGCTGACAGTTCAGTGGTGTTTGTCTTGGGTCTGCTATTTGAATAGAATCTAACAACTCATGATTTAAAAAGCCCTGTTTTTTCCTTGTCTTCTTTAGAAAGAAAACTCTTAAGAATTTCTAGACAAATCAAAGATTATTGTTACTAGATGATGAAAGGTTTTCATTGTTATTTCTTCCCATCTTTTAAAAGGGTTTTGAAGATGTTAGAGAAAATAGTCATTGCTTCACTATTAATTATTTCAGTTTTTTTCTTTTTTCTAGCCTGGGTAATTATAAAAGTGGAGGTCAGATCTAGAGAGGAACTTGAGAAAGGAAATGGAAGCAGCAAAAGGTGAACAATAATAATTTTTTAAAAATCTGAAGCGATTTCCAAATTTTTTGTTAAAAAAAATTGTCTTTGTAAGAATAAAAATATGCCCACCACCATCTTTAGGAGTCTGGAGTCATCATGATGATAAATTTGTTTCTGATTGGAGTACATTATGTTCCACATGTATTATGGCAACAAAAAAAGAAAAAAATTAAGAAACCTTCCCTACATAGAGAAATAAAACTAGTACTTCACAGTTGCCATCATATACATACTTAAAATTACTTTACTCCCTGAGTGCTGCTCTAAAAATGTTTTTTCTTCCCTTTCTTTCTAGTACAACTTCGCTGCTTCCTGCAATGATCATATTGTGTATTTACACACACACACACACACATACAAACACTTGTGTCACTACAGTTTTTTAGTTGGACCTCAGTAGAATCTGAAAAGCAAGATGATGTCAAATGGAAGAAACCAGCCAGGGTTAACCCATAAATTTGTTTTTCTTAATTTTTTCCCCCATTCCTGATCTTTAGAATAATGTTCACCTTTATCCCATCTCTTCAGAAAAACTTGACCTTCATTTAATACAAAATAATTATTTACCCCCAGGAACAAAATTAGTATTTTATCCTTTTAAAGTGCTTTTTTTAAAGTTAGTCATTTTTGCTAGGCTTGGGGGTGCACATCTATAATCTCAGCTACACATAAGACTGAGACAGGAGGATTATAAATTTGTGACCAATCTCAGCAGTTTTCCAAGACCTTAAAATATTAGGTTAGTTAGAGATGTAGCTCAGTGGTAGAGTGCCTCTGGGTTCAATCCTCAGTACCATAAAAACAAAACCAAACCACTATTTTCTTCAACTTTCTTCTGGGATCTAATGGAAAAGAAGAAAATAGGTTAATTTTTAAAATGAGTTTCTTCTTTTTCTTTGTATTAATGGTGGATATTTCTAGAAAATTGTGGACTTGAGTAATGAGATATTATATTAGTTATCTATTGCTGCAAAATAAATCTCCCCCAAAATTAGCATCTAAAGCAACATCTCACACAATTTCTGTAGGTTAGAATTTGGGAGGAGTTTGACTGATTAGTTCTTGATAAGGATCTCTTTTGAGGTAGAAATCAAGAAATCACCTGAGCTTTGACTGCAGGCTTCACTGAGCTCTGGATGATTCCAGCTAAGATAATACATTCATGTAGCTGGCAAATTAGTATACAATGTTGGTAGAAGAACTCAGTTCACTGCCAGGTAGATGTTTCCACAGGAGTGCTAAAGTTTCCTTATAACGCTCCTTCTGAGTGAGTGATAGAGCACAAAGTAATGGCCTCAAAGTCTTACAACATCATTTTGTGAGTATTTGGTAGCTCAAGAGATTGTGAATGCTAGAAGGCAAGAGCAGTGGGTATCATCATGGAAGCTGCTTACTACTGAGTTAAAGAACTGTAAAATTGCATTCTAGTCAAGGTGAGAATTGGTGTCAACAGGAAGGAAAACAGTTAAGGAGATCTATAGAATGCAAAGAAAATAGCAGGTTATTGACCTGAGAACTGAGTGATTGTACTAATGGAAACACCTTCTCATCCCCACTTAAAGGCTAAAATGCTTCTCTGCAGTTTATTTTCATTTTCCTATACTTTGATGGTTTTTGCAGGTCAGTAGTTAACCTCACTGGTTTATTAGTAAGGTTTGTATGGTCTAGTATAGCAGGTGGAAAGGTTCTAATTTTTTGGCCATATGCAAATGTGAAGCCAAAGATTGAACTCTGAATGAACTTTATTCTACTAAATGTACCTACTTTTGCACCAGTTGCTGGCTATCCATTGTGTAAAGCAGACATGGTGTCTGCCTTTGGGGAATGTATAGCCTACTGGGGAAAGAAACACAGATCTTACACAAACACAGAAGAGAATGTTGGAAATAACTGTGGAAGGAGGCAATAAAGTGCTTAGAAGGCAATAAGTGGGAGCACCTGATTTAGATGTAAGGTTAAAGGAAGCTGAAACCTTGAAGCCTGAGCATCACAATGATGGAAAAATATTGGGAAATGTTAACTACACAAAGGATCCAGCATGTGCAAAAGCATGGCTGAGTTTGCCACATTTGAAAGGCAGCTAGCTAGTCCTGGTTTAGCTTAATGTTTAGGGCTGCCTGATGCTGATTGGGTATAACCTGCTCAGTTAGCACTTCACGTGCTGCTGTCTTTTGCTCTGGATTGAACCAATGGCACTGATCTGCTTTGTTTATTCTGCAGTTTCTCTCTATTAACTGTTTTCTGTTGAACTGGCCTGATTCTAGGCGAAATATTTTTTCTTTTCAAAGGAAAAATAAGCATGGGGTCTTTTAATAGTTAAAAAGTCATGTTTTGCCAAGTACAGTTAAGTAATTTTGTAGTTTAATATTTAATAAATACTTATTTAAAATAATTTGTGATCTTTTTATGTGTGAGTTAGTTCATTCCCCTTTAAACAAAAGAACAAAACAGATCATTGTTAAGCTCTCTTCTCTCCTGCCCCCAGCACTTTGTTCAAAGGTCTTACTGTGTGAGCATTTTTACCAAACTTGCTTATGCTCTCCCCCAAATTATAAGGACAAAAATTTTAATTTCAGCCCATGAAAGTTGATTTGAAAAATGTAGGAGGAAATACAATTTATATAACAGTTCTTGAGAAGATCTGTCTCAGCAGATCATAATGTCTTTACCAATGTTCCCTAAACAGTTAAAGGAAATTCAGGATAAGGGATTTAGAATGTGATTTTTTTATGTCAACAAATTTTAGAAGTGGGTGCTTCTAAAACATTCCACTTACCATGAGTCTTTGTAAGAACCTCTGCCTGTTTTAGGGACATTATTAACACCTGAGAAAGTGAGGAATTGTTGCTTCAAGGTTCCATGTGGTTGTGGTAGTACCAAATTCTTGCTACTTTTCTTTCAATTTCCTGCTGTTTCTCTCAGTTGGCTATGTAAGATGGAAGTACAGGTCCCAAAATAACTTACATGAATTGCTAAGTCTCCTGTATGAAAACTTGCATTTTAGAACTTAAAAACTTTTGAGCTGGACAGTCGTTCTTAAACTCTGTCCTAGACACTGTGTATGGCATGTTTTGTAAAGAGCACATTTAGAGAAGCTGGTATAAAGAAGAGCAAGGGCAAAGAAATCTATGAAGTATTTTGAAAAGTTTTAATATATCAATTAAAAGACAGCAAAGTGCAAAATAGAACAAATACCAATGATGTAAAGCAGTTATGTTGACTTCCTCTTACAAGGCCTTGCCTTATTCCCTCTGACAGAGTCAAAATTTTCTCAATTGCCAGGAAAAAAAAAAAAAGGTATAGCACAAAATCACAAATACAGGTTGCGCATCCTTAATCCAAAAATCCAGAATTCAGAATGCTCCGAAATCTCATAAACTTTTTGAGAGCCAAATGGAAAATTTCATATCTGACCCCGTGACATGTTGCAATCACAATGCAGACACACTAAAAATATTGTGTAAAATTGCCTTCAGGCTATGTGTATAAAGTATATATGAAACACAAATGAATTTCATATTTAGACTTGAATCCCATTCCCAAGAGAACTCATTTTGTAAATGCAAATATTCTAAAATCCAACAAAGAAAAAAATCCAAAACCTAAACACTTCTGGTCCCAACCATTTTAACCTGTACTTGAGTGTTCCTTCAAAAAAGATAGTTTTACAAAAAAGTAGTAAAATTTACATATTCTTTTCTCTTATAATTTTTGTTTTTTCTGGATTTATCAAAATAAGAAAAAATTCAGTAATTTTAAAATAAATTAGATTTATATAGGAGCTATATACATTTTACTATGTATTTTGATATTGCAATGAATGTTCTTACAATATACATAGAATCTTGTTACTTACCTTCTAGCTGTTTA